GACTCGGAGCTGTCCGATGGGACCCAACCAAATGACGAATTCTTGTAACGACTCCAGGGGTCCACCATATAAAAAGACCCCCCCCCCATTGCTACACCCCAGAGGTGGCTGCATCTCAGCGCCGGGCGAGGGGTCCCCGTGTAACCAGCCGCCCCGCCCCAGAGGTGGCTGAATCCTGTGACTGGGGGGAATAGGCTGAAATTCATCCTCTGGTCATATATAGCCTGGTAATGCCTAAAAGCCCCGCCCAGGGAGGGTCAGGCCTAGTGGTTGGAGCAGTGGCAGCAAGGCCCAGAACGAGGGCAGGGCTGGGAGCAGAGCCGGGAGCAGGATACGGCCCGTGGGCCTGTTACTCTCCCAGGGCCCTGTCTCCTGCGTCGCCAGCCCAGCCCTGGCTGGTGGATTGGCTGGAGCCTAGCGCAGGAAGGAGTCATCTCCGCATGGGGCTTAATCAGGCTGTAATTCAGGGATGACTCATCACCCCCCCCCAGTCCCCTATTGTTCAGGTGCCACACAGACCTCCCCTCTCTCCCTCCCCTCCCCCGAGATCAGGGTCCCCCATTATACCGGGCACTGCTCACACCCTCCCGATGCAAGGCACGGAGCGGGGATTGATTTAAATCATCCATTTTAACCGGCTTTTCCATTTGTACTGCAGTGCTTTCTCCAGCACAAGGTGCATTCGCACGGGCTGGCTCCAAGCCAGTGGCTCTGGCCCCCTTTCAGGGGTCGGATTGTCTTGCGTACCCCCAAGTTACCCCTCACTTCAAAACGACGTGCTTACGAAAATCAGCCACCAAAATACAGAAGTGTCATAGCCACGCTATGGCTGAAAAATGGCTGATTTCCTCCTGGTTCCCATATAATTACAAAATAAATCAGCTGGCATATAACGACGGTGCTCCCATCTCGGTGTACCGCACGCAGAGCCGGATAAACCAGTCACTGTCTGTGGGAAACTGGCGTTCGGACTGGCTTCGCTAGTGCTTTCTCGGAGCCTGTTGTAAAACGAGGCAAATATTCCCGGGTACACGTATCCCTGGTTGAGAACCGCTGCCCTAACCCTTCATCCAGGGGGACCCCAGCTCACTGGGACCTTCACGCGCCCTTAGGTCCGTCCGTTTGCTATGCAGGAGGCTGTACGGCATGGAAGCAACGGGCTTCGTTAATCGTGCATTGTGCTCCGGAACTGGTGCCAGGGGCCTTGCGTGGTCCCTTTCTGCCGGGGCTTTGGTCAGGCCGTGCTCGGACGGGCGCTGGAGCTGAGAGAAACGCGCCAAGCCCCCCTCTCCAAATCGCTTCTCTTGAACCGAACGCCCTTCACTGGTTTGGCGACCCCCAGCGTCTCCTTTTCCCTCTGCGGCTCGTTGATTAAGCCGGGATTAACGGGAGGCCGCGAATTAAACCGATCGTTGCCCAGCGGGCTGGGAACGTTTTCAAATCCGCCCAGGAGAAAGTGAGCGGAGCTTGAGTTCCTCCTCGCTGGCGTCGCTTGCAAATCAGCCGTTCTCAAGCAGGGGCACACGTACCCCTGGGGTACACAGATCGTCCAGGGGCTCCATCAACTCCTCTAGAGATTTGCCTAGTTTTACAACAGGCTCCGAGAAAGCACTAGCGAAGCCAGTCCGAACGCCAGTTTCCCACAGACAGTGACTGGTTTATACGGCTCTGCGTGCGATACACCGAGATGTGAGCACCATCGTTATATTCCAGTTGATTTATTTTGTAATTATATGGGAACCAGAAGTAATTTGTCACTGACCGTGCGCTGTGACGTGTCTGTATTTTGATGTCTGATTTTTGGAAGCACGTCGTTTTTAAGTGAGGCGAAACTTGGGGGTACGCAAGACCAATCCGACTCCTGAAAGGGGCACATCGGTCGGGAAAGGTTGAGAGCCGCTGGCCTAAATCCCGTAAGCTAATCAGCCGGGCCCTGTTCATAAAGCGTCGCCTCCCCAGCTCGCTGTCCCCGCCCCCCAATTCTCTCTTTATAGAGCGGAGCCCCCTTTAACGCCAAGAGTTTGGGAGAGGCTCCTGGATCCTGCCTGGTTCGTTTTTATTTCCGTATTTGAAGAGAGAATAAATCAGTTTTAGGCCTTAAAAAGATTCTTTATTAAACTCAAATCACATTGTAAATATTTTTTTTCTTTTTTTATTTTGACACAAGGAAATAAAAAATTCAGTTGAAATAAAAAATACAACCTGATCCAAGCGGTGGTTCTCCCCACTCGTTAATT